GGCTGGGAACCGGGCCCAGCGTCCCTTATCAGAATACAAGAATGAGCTACCGGGGCCATTACCCGGCTTCAGCTAAAACAATTGAAGAAAAGGAAAACTCAGAAACATTCAGAAATTGTGTGTCAACAAGCCTCCCAACCACGAATCAGATAGGTGAAACCTATTCAATCCACCTTCGACCACCGCCAGCATGGCCGTTTTCAGCACGAACCGAAGCTCTTCCAGGCCTCATGCTCCCATCAGGCTGGGTTACAGAGTTGCACCACTTTGCTCCAACACCGGCCAGCATTGCTTCAGTTACGACCCCCGATGACCACTGAGACTGCCCCCGCAAACAGCCCCCCAGATCTCTCTACCAGGCCTCATGCCCCCACTAAGCTAGGTCACAGAGTTGCGCCACCTGGCTCCGGCTCCGGCCATCGTTGCTGCAGCATCGGTCTTCAAGGGCCACCGAATTTTCAACCACCCTACGCAGGATCAAAGATGACATGCCAGATATCACCTATTCCCACAACCTCCTCGAGAGGCGAACGAAATTACTGGACTGGAAGATTAGAAATCTTCAAAAGAACATCACCCCTCCCTCCCCCTACCCCCTCAGCCCTACACTGCCCCCGTCGAGGCGAGCGTCCCGCTCTCCCTCGGCCCCAATATAGGACCAACCCCCTCCACCCCTGTCCCCGAGGACACGCAGTTCCCTCCTAAAACATGCCCTCGCCGCCCCTTGCCCGTTTCTGCCTCCACTGAGGACGATGTTGACCCCTCCCACCACCCCAGCCCCAGAAACAGGACAAACCCCCAACTCCGCTTCTACCCTCTTCGAGACATTCACCCCCCTCCTTGTGAATCCCCTGCAGGATAGCGCTCCCTATCCACCACCCTATCCACCCCACTCTCCCAGTTCTGCCCTTCTAAAATAATCGATCCAGCCCAGGAATAAACTCGGAATTTTCTGAAAAGGACCCGTTGAAAAGGGCGCAGGGCAGCATAAAGATTATTACAATTATTCCCCTTCCCCTTGCGTCCAATGAACAGATGACTACTCCCACCAATTTAGATAGCAAAAACTATCAGGATTTAAGCTATGGTGGCAAAAACTATCAGGATTTAAGCTATGATAGTGAAATTCAAAAAAAACTCAAGATTTATTAAAGAGTATAGTCAAGGAACAAGGAATTTTCTGAAAAGGACCCGTTGAAAAGGGCGCAGGGCAGCATAAAGATTATTACAATTATTCCCCTTCCCCTTGCGTCCAATGAACAGACCAATTTAGATAGCAAAAACTATCAGGATTTAAGCTATGATATTGAAATTCAAAAAAAACTCAAGATTTATTAAAGAGTATAGTCAAGGAACAAAATTACGTAGTTATCGTGATGATTCCTGCAAATATGCTAATGATCCAGAACAGATGATGTTAAAGTGAAACTAAATGATGTCAATGATGATGAATCTGATAGTGATATTGATGATGATGATAATGATGATATTGGTAATGATGATGATGTTGATAAGATGATGATGATAATGGTAGTGATGACTAAGATGATAATGACTATGATGATGATCGCGTCCATCGCCCGGCGCTAACTCAAGATGCTGCTAGTGCTGATGACTGGATGATGATGATGGTGATGATATTAAAAGGGGCGAGCAGCGCCGATGATGAAATTTTAACTATGAGTGTCGCGCAGCCCCCCTAAATATGGTGTTAAAAGTTGAAACCTACCCTGTTGATGCTGATAAAGACGACGAGGATGACGAATAACTCCCTGATGATGATGCCTGTCGTTGTACCCCGTTGCTGCAGATAAACGACCTCTCCCCGGTGCTTGATACTGCTGCTTGTATGTCGAAGACAGTCTCAAACACTCCACTCCTTATCCCCCTCCACTCCTCCTCCCATCTCGTGGGACACACAGCGCTCCTCTCCCTCTTGCTCCTGGCCGACCTCCTCCACCAAATTGTGCAAGAAGAAGAGCACAAGTGATTCCTCCCGATGCAAGACCCAGCAGAGAGCCTTACCCCGCCTCACACGGCATGTTAACCTGCAGCATCCCCGTGAGAGGCACCAGACAGTGAGATGGCACTACAAGTGCTTTCAAGTGTTAGGAGATAGAGAGTACATCCTACAGCAGCAGTAACAGCGCTGACTCTCTGCATCGTAGAGCACCTATCATAGCCACCCTCTATGCCCAGCGGCGCCCAACATCGCTGCGTGTTACCGCTCAACCACATCTTCGGCAACGCCTATTTTGAAATCCAACCAGCTATTTGAACCTGAAAAGAGGCTGTTGTGGGTAGGATACAGAGCCAGAGTTACATGCTTCCCAGTGGCTCCACAGATGAGACCTTGAAAGTGTGACATTCACGGCTGTGACCTTGAAAATGTCATCCTTGACGCTCCCAGGATATGAACACCCCTCTTTTGGGGGGGGAATGAAGACTTGGACCTGGGAAGGCATTTAAAACAGAAGAGAGCAAAAGTAGAATTGGAACTTTTTACTTGGAATTTCATCCTGGTGAATAGGACTGCAATCAGAATAACCACTTGGGCACACTTGGTGCCAGCCAATGGATACAGTCAGCTGGATCCTCTTGGTCACTATGAGTAGGGCCTTTCTCCAACATGGGTGTGAGTGCAAGTGAGTGGGTTGGGTGTGGTATGTGGGAGAGTGTTGGCGTTAGACACTGCTATTATTCGATGAGGGTTGGGGAAGATGACGAAGGGAGGCGCAGCGACTGGCAAAATGCTCAGTCATTGTGTTAGCCGGGCCCCCACCGGTGGGCCCAACCCTGCACCCTAAACCACTCGGGCAAGGGGCAACATGCCTCCCCTTTCAATGTGAGAGGCAAAAAGCTATGCTTGCAGGGGGTCCTCTGTATGGTCTTTTAAGAGTAGTGGTGCGTAGATAGTAGAAGGTGAATTTGAAAGCATTTGAGAGATGATGAAAGGATTTGAGAGAAGAATGTAGCATAGTTTTAAGGAAAGAAAAATAAGCGAAGAACAACCCAAGAAAATTGGCCCCTTGAACTGCTAGTTCACGGCCCCAACCCTGCACCCTAAACCACTCGGGCAAGGGGCAACATGCCTCCCCTTTCAATGTGAGAGGCAAAAAGCTATGTTTGCAGGGGTCCACTGTGTAGTCTTAGAAGTAGTGGTGGGTATGTAGTGGAAGGTGAATTTGAAAGTATTTGAGAGATGATGAAAGGATTTGAGAGAAGAATGTGGCGCAGTTTTAAGGGAAGAAAAATAAAATAAAAAGAATAATCCAAGAAAATTGGGCCCTTAAGCCCCCAGTACATGGCCCCAGCCTTGCTGAAAAAGAAACTTGTCACGTATGAAATATCGGAGGCTTGGCCTACGGGACCACAATGGCTGGCGGCGCCATCGAAAAAGGAAAAAGAGTGCAACGCTGGCGGTTCGGAAAAGCTTGGTGTGCAGTTAGGCGCCTGCAGGCCCGGGTGTACTGGTGGTTT